GGTACATTGTCCTACCAATCTCGGCACCACTACGCCGTACAATTGCAAACTCGCATTCCTGTACAAATACATTTTATAATGAAAACAAGTGAATCAAAAGAAATATTTAAAAAAATATCCAAAATATAATGAATAAATTTAATCAATAAAATAATGTCGCGTTACCTTACAGTCCAAACATCGGATTCCATGTATCTGAAACACGTTAAACAAATGTCCTCCATATATGGACCTAATTGCGCATGGATTTCCTTGTCAGCTACTAACGCACGCAGAAAATGCAAGCGTTTCGCCCATGGTGAATCTTCTCCAGTCTCGATATTTCTAACAGTTGTCACTGAGACATTTTTCAACGAGCGCAATAATGTTTCCACTGCAAAATGCACTGTAGGCCGATTGTTCCGATTATCACTAACGACTAATTTGTGAAACATAATTGATAATCCAGCACCTCGTCGTGTTAAATGTAACGATTTTTTCGTGTCTTCTTCTAACAAACACGTCAGATATATTTTTGGTAATTCAGAGTACTTATCTTCGTTATACAAACATCTAAAATAATTTTTTATTTAAATATAATTGGAATCATAACAATTATTATAAGAAATAATTTAATTAAATTAATTATTGCATTGTTACTATAAATTCATTATTTTTGTCTCACATCAAATAGTTGTCACATATTCATTACATTAATTTATGCATTAACTTATTTATATATTTATAAAATATATATATAAAACATTTACAATATATATATATATTGTATTAAATAAAGTTCTATTAATAATTACTTGGATAAATTTGCAACGGTTACACCAGCACATTCTACTACGCCTTTATGCCGACATTTCAGTAGCACCATAATGATAATATCTATGGAACGTTTTACATGTGCATTGGACTGTATCAACATTCCAATTTCACTAGCGATCTCACATGATATCTATATAAAAATTTTATTCATTTAATTAATTATAACAATTATCTTGTATATATGTGTGTATATATATAATAATCTTGTCTATATAATAATATTAAACTAATCATGGCAAATAAGCGAACATATACCTTTAAGGACATCCAAATACACGAGATAAGTACTTGATGTGCAGGTGACAATTGTAATTCGTCATAATCAAAATCTTCTATTTCACTGGTTTTTATCTTTTCATCAATAGCCAATCCCATCTCCGCAAACGAGGAGGAATAAACTAAACATAAAATTATTGAATAAAATTACAGAAATCAGACAATTCCTTAATAAGTGATATGTTATCTAGGAAAAATACCTATTTTAATTACATCTTATTCATCAATAAAAATTTCTAATTATTATTACTACTAATAATTATAAGTTACTGATAAATTATTATAAAGTTCTAATATATTGAAAAATTAATATTTTATATTTGATGATGGTAGTAATTGTAAAATATAGATCAGACTTTTTAATATTATAAATATTGAATATATACCTGTATTTGATGCTTTGATAGAAAACGTAGATAAAAAGAACTCAACAGCGTCTTTCAAAAGACTGAGCATTTTCTCCGTAAATTGTGGTGTTAAAACCCAATTCTCTGGACCACCGCGAAAAGCAACTGCTAATAAAGCGGTCAACACGCCATAAAATGGTCTATTTTTGACAATGGCTTTTAAAATATCGCTTTTTATCTCTGCCAATTGACATTTAGCTTCATTCAATAGAAATTCTGAATAACTCGAGTAAACGAGAATATTATTATGCTCATTGTCGGAAAATACCGCAGCTGCGTTTTTAGAGACCTCGTTAGAAACCTTGTTTAAAGGCAACCAATGTGCAATTATCTTTACGAGAATTGCTCCGCTTTCAATTTTGTAGAATTTCGAAGAATTGCAATGTTCCCACGCACAATTATAGAGTATCTAAAGTCAGAATTTTTTTATTATAATATTACCGTTAAAAGAAATTATTTTAAAACTCAGATCATGATTTTTACTCAATTTTAAATTAGCATTCTTTCATAGAAAAATAAATTTTAATATACAACTTTTACACTTTTAATATTTTGAATATCTTGATAATTGAGCTATAATTTAAGTTTCTTTTACAATAATGTTCGAGTAAAATTCAATCTAGAATAAGAGATTTGTTCTTATCTAGTAAAGTTTAGTCTAAAGATTTCTATTACAATTTTTATATATTAAAATCTATTGATTTCTAAAAAAGTTCACATTAGTTAAAGAATATGTCTTTCAAGTTTTTCTTAACTCATATGTGTATATGCGAAAGCATAAAACATTTAAGGAAACATATAAGTATGACAAGCTTCTTACGCGTTTTTCTGTAGTTAACAAAGCATCTTTTCCAAAATATTCCAGAATGAGGGTGCTAGCTAGTTGTCTAACATCAATTGCAGAGTCTAGCACGAGTCTTAATAATAAGAACAAAGATTCCTTATTGATAAATCTCCTACAAAGATTCCTTAAACCTCCAAGGAAGATTCCTTTTAGTAACCTACTTGAACTATCAGTGGTCTTCAAGTACTTATCGATCGCTACAATATTGTGAAGGCATTTTTTATGACGGGTGTAGTTTTTGTACAAATTTTTATTTGTAAAAGAGAGTAAGGTTCCATATAATTTTAAAGCGAGAATTTTGCGTTGATAGCACGAGCCAATTTCGAAACAATCCAGGAAGTATTCGTGCAGCCAATTCATAAATTCAGAAATAGATAGTACACAATCGGTTTTAATGCTGATCGCTTTTAAGATGTTCGAGCACAATATACTAAAATATTTTATTATTCCTTCTCTCATAAGAATCGTTGCGGTATTGGCGTTAAACCATAGAAATTGTTTTATCAGAAGAAATGGGTCTGCTTCGTTAATGTTGATCAGTTCGACAGCGCGATAACAAAGCACTGCAAAAGCATTCAATCGTATGATTTCTTCTTTGTTGTCTATGTAACAATCGATTTCGTGTGTTTGCGGCAGCTCTACATGTATTTTAGCGGCCATTCTTTGCATATGCGAACGAGAAAAGTATCCCTGCGTATCACTGCACAATTCCCATAAAAATGGCAAAATGTTTCTGTACATTTCAATAGTCGGTTCGAGCCAATATGTAAATAACGATTGAAGAGCGTTGTGATCCACACTGTAAAAAAATTTTAAATTAAATCGTATTAAATTCTAGAATGCGTTCTTCGTATTAAAAGAAATCTTGAAAATTACGCAAGACTGTTCTTATATATTATAAAGAAATTTTACAGATAATTTTTTCATATAACTTTCTGCCTAAGAAGCAAAAAGGAATAAATTAAAAGATTATCGTTTATCATCAGGAAAAAATAAGTTTTTTGTGATAAAGAATTATTCTACAAACTTACTGCTTTCCCGACTCCCAACGGTCAATAACGAATTTCATAACTTCCCCGAACATTTCCTTCCATTCGGCCTCGTTTAGCTTCCTTAAAATCGTCATATAAAGCTTTGTACCGCCGCAACGCAAAGAAATTTTTGTTAAGCTATTGCATAATTCAAATAAAAAACGCTGTATAGTTTGGACTTTAATATCATGTACTTGTAAAATTTCCGTTAGAATGATGTATTTTGTTTCGTTTTGCCATGACATGTCTTGAAGACATATCTGATATACATTATCTACGAATGTTTTTTTATGTTTCTGTAACATTATCCGGAGATACATGTTGAAAATTTCTGCGTTCTGCTTGCATAAATTATTAAGCACATTGGACCAATTGGAGAATATAATTGCTTCCAACTTTTGTTCTAAAATACAATTCTGTTTGTCCCAAAAGCGCGCATCTGTCGTATTCCTTAATCTCTTCAACCATGCGGACAATACTCTGTACGCGAAATAAGTGTATCTCGTATATTTTATACAATTTCTATATATTACATCAAACATAATTAAGAGAGCGTCATATTCGAAGCACGTCTCAAGAACATCTTTCCTGCCATTCACCTGCAGATATCCATAAGCATTCAGTAACTTGAAGAGCTCGAGATCGGAAACAGTATATTGCTTCTCGAGAAAACATAAATTGCACGAGTCCAGTTTTTGGAAACCAATTATGATATCTTTGAGAGCGTGCGAGTCGCATTGCATCGGAAGCAATGCGTAAAATGCATGGCACGCTAAAAGAATGCGTTCATTTCCCAATTCGGAATTGTTACTGATTATCTTTATAATGTGCGCTAAAATTATTTGCCATTCTTTCACGCTTTCGTTCGTAGAATCGTGCAAGGGCGCGATACTTATTAATTTCTGAAAAGAAATAGACAAGTTATTGTAATCAAATTGCACAATGAAATATTTCAATTAAATAATGAAGAAAATATTAACTCGGAAAATCGGTATATCATTTTGACAATTCTGCAATTTGTTGAATACGTCGTGCGGTTCCATTTTTTTGCATTAGTGTTCAGTATTTTGTATTCATTAAAAACTATTATTTGTAATTTGATTGTTTCGTTTGGTTTGTTTTTCCTGCTTTCTGTTTCGTAATATATTGAGTAATACTAAAATAATATCTTCAGTTTTGTAAATTTTTATCTGCCATTTCAAAATCGAGAACTGCTTGGCTTTTCTTATCGACCTGCTTCGGTAAATCTGATCTTTTAGAACTTTGCATCCCACCATCAAGACAAGTCCTGAAAGTAATGGAGAGTAATTATGTTCTCGTAAACAGGATTGATTCAATGATAAGGAAGAAGAGAAAAGGCAATTGATGTATAGATAGTCAAATTATGATTAAAAGTTGCAAAAAAACTGCGCAACAAAATTTTAAAACTTTTTTTCAAAAAAATTATTAGTTAAAGTATAATATAAAAGCCTGTGGTGGAAACAACTACTAAATTAGAGTTTAGTTGGAGATGATATTCTGGAACGTAGAAATTTGAAAGAGAGAACGAATTACTTCAAAGATTCTGTAAAATACCGGTTAAGGATAATAGAATGTTGAATGCAATAAAACCATTGTTTGTTATTTTTAAGCATCTTATTTATTATAATTCAACAAGTAAAAATAACAATGTAAAGTCCAAAAACATTCGAATGGATAATGTATGAAATTAATTGTTTAATAGTAAATATTAATAGTTCAATCATGACTTGCTATGAATACAGTAAAATCGAAAGATTAGTATTTTATGTTTCCTTTGGTTCTTCAGGAACATACCCCCCCGTCTCTATTTGCTCTTTGAACTTCAAGTAATCTCGCTTACGATCAAAATGTTTCACCTGCATAAAAGTGGCATAGAAGAATACTTGTTAGACAATAAAAAAAAAAGATTCTATTATCGATATTAAAAATACACAAAGTAAACATTAAACCAAGAAATCTTTAGAAATGCTGTCGAGAAAAACACTGTCTCTAATACCTACCCATTGAGATGGACAGAATTTTTCATATTGTTTTCTAAATTCTATACATTCCGCTTGAGATTTGCCTTCATCAAGACATTGCCAATATTCGTCCCTGCGACTCCAGCACTTTATACGATCTTCTTTGTTTGGAAAAGACATTCTGTAATGTGAGAATACAAAAGGAATTATTAAACATATATATATTTATATATATCGCTCTCTTATTTTAAAAGTGACATAATTTAAAAAAATAAGTTTCTCGAAAAAAGGAAAAATTATTTTTCAACTTAACAGAGAATTGACTAATCAAATAATTTCAGCAATAACAATATATTTTTAACATTAAATGTTTATCATTTGCATCATTTTTAACATTTGCATTTCTCAACCCTTAAAATATATCCTTTTTGATGTTAAGCTTCAACAATTTTTTTAAAGTAACTTTTTATAAAATTTACTTTTGATAATTAACAGGATAATGTTTATATTTAACTCATTCATGAAAGTAATAATTCGATAAATCATTTTTTAGCTGTGTCACTTCTGAAGTAAGGGAATGATATATATGCTTGCAGAAATATCCATTTGCTTCTCATTATATTATTGTCTTATAGTATTTCTAGTTTTATTTAGATACAAAGAGAAATGTATAGTATAAATTTTAACTCTATTGATGATTTCGTGTATGAGGTCTTCATATATATAGTAATAATTTTAGATAACACTTTTGTGATTAGATTAGATAATATTCTAGTAATCCAAATAATATTCTAATAATATAATTATTATTGATAATTAGACATTTCCTGTCATTGTAATAATTATAGCTAAACATGAGAGAAATACGAAATTCAATAGAGAAATTCGATACACTTACCTATAATATTTATTCTTTTATTAGGACGAATCTATTAAAAATTCACTCACTCACTTTTTTAAACTGCTACAGTATCATTAAATTCAATAAAACATGTAAAATTATGAATTAAAATAATTAAAGTGTAATGGAAAGCAGTTAACTATTCAATTACTGCAAAAGATTTATGTTCTTCAAACAAAAAATTACATGAATGTAAAAATAATCTTTTATATGATATATACTTTTAGAAAAAGGAAAATATATTTTCATATGGTGTACTAATCTTTTTCTTTGCCACTAATCAAATCAAAATTTTCAAAGTGTCATAATACATATTTATATATAATATATATACATTTACCAAATGTTTCTTGTATATCTTCTTATCATATAAAATATTAAATACTTAAATATTAAATATAATTAAGTTAATTATTAATATTTAAGATTTAAGTTTTTATACTTAAAATTAAGGAAAGACAAGAAACATTTTTGATAAATGTAATTAAATATTAATAATATTAAAAATAGTAAATTAAAAAACTGATAAATACTTCATGCTTGCAGTAATGTACAACAATTATTTTGAGAAGCAAATTAATCTCGACAATAAAAAATGATTAGTTAATAATTTACTAAAATAAAATAATATAAATAAATATTATAAA